GCCCATCCAACCTGGCCTTGAACACTGCCAGGGATGGGGCAGCCACCTCAGTGAAGAGTTTTTCCTTTATCCAACTGAGCCCAGCCACAGAAGGCCCTAATTCTTTGTCTTCTGCAGCTTGATCCTTCTATTTCTCTCTCTTCATGGGCTTGTTTTCTGTTACCTTGGAAGTATTTTGCAGTTGTGCAAATCAAGAGGAAAACCCCTGCCTTTAAGGACATGGGGATTTATACTCCCACTTTGCATGGAGACAACAGTACAAAAAAGCCATGGGGATTTCGTTCTCAAGGTACTAACTGATAAATTCTATGTTCAATAACATTCATACACCTTTTCTTGCTTAATACAGGGATAATGAAATACTATGTTTTTGAAATACAACCTTAGGTATTAGGCATTTTGAGTGTGTGATATGAAAATGACCATCATTTTGCGTTGGAGACATTTGAGAATCCTCAGACTCCCATGTTTTTGATATCCACAGTGTTACATAGAATCCCAGCCTGGTTTGGGTTGGAAGCGACCTTAGAGCTCATCTTTAACTCAAGGATCGTGCTAGGGAGGAAACATGCTGCTACATGCTCAGTGGTCCTTTAGTGAAGTCTTTGTGAGATAACTGGGGTAGACTTCAATGATGTGAGTTTGAATCCCAGTTTCATGGAAGCAACAGCCAGCACTTTCTTCTGCCTTTCCTTCCATCTGATCCATATATCCTTCCACCCTGAATAAGGGGCTAAGCAGGCAGCATCAACACTAAGCGTGGCTGTAGAAGAAGAGATGTTTGCCTGTTTTCTTCAGTCTTCTTGTCCAGGAGGAAGCAGGCAGTGAGCTGGCAGCATCATGTAGCCTGGGTTCAGCTTGTGGCCCTTGGTGAAGCGTCTTCTCTGGCTTTGAGGGCTATCAGTTGTGATGGCAATCAAACACCGCGATGTATTGCAGCAAGTTTAATGACTGCTGGTGTTTGAAAACAAAAAGGGCCCCCAAAATAGAATCACAGAATCATTTTGGTTGGAAAAGACCGTTAAGATCATCGAGTCCAACCATTAATTTATCGTGCCAAGTCCACGACTAAACCAGGTCCCTACGTGCCATGTCTACAATAGCAGTGCTCGTGCCAAGTCCCTCCCTTTTCTTGGGTTTTTAGAGCGGTTTTGGTAGGTCTGTTCAGAAAACATCCTCAGACCCGTTTGCTCAATTTGCATGTCTGAAAAGCTTCTCTTCAGTTAATTGGTTAAATGCATTTTGGCCGTTGCAAAAGGAGAGCTGTATTACGAGCAGAACGAAAGTCATTTTACTCTACATTATCCTGTACCATGGCACATCGTGTCTTTCTTACACAATTCATTTTGTGGTGCTGTCAAATACTATTTTGTGTCACCTTCAGTCAATGCAGCTTTTACCATTTTCGCTGATACTTTATTCACAGTTTATTTAGTCTTCTAGATAATGGTCAATGGCCTTGAGTAGTCAAATTAACACCTCGGCGGCACTATATTTGAGCAAACCTCTAATGATAACCCCAGGATGAAAAGCGATGAGAATCAGCATCGCGAGTGTATCTGTAGGGATTATTGATTGATTGATGCGTTCTGGCCTTAACTGGAAGAGGCAGCATCGCCCCACAGCTGACTAAGATTAAGTTGCCAGTTACTGATAACTGCAGGCCATTACCTGTGTAGTATTTCACAAGCTGGGAGATGAGATGGAGACTTTTTATGGTCCTTCGCTGAAGAAGCCACAGCGTTCGCAGGGTCTGCCATGCTCACCCTGCTGCAGCAAAACGCTACGCTCTGCTCCGGCTCGTACCAGCCGATTTGATTCGAGCACTGCCCGTTATTCCTGTAGGGATCTCTCTGGGACAACTGAGGCACTAATGGCTTGTCTCCCCCCCCGCGGAAGGTGGGAGCCGTGTTAAGCTGTGCTGCTGTCAGCAAGCTGGGAGCTGGGGGTCTCCCCACCACAACTCTCAATTGCTAGCAGGTTTCTCTCACTGCACCTCATTTGCATCTGGGACATCAATTAGCATGTTTGTTGAGGCTAATTGAATGAAACTCAATCATAGCTCTTAATTGCTTGACTATGTGAAAAGAAATCACATTAATGCAGCTAATTAAGTGTATGGCAATAGATGCAACATAATTAGGAGCGAAATGTAGAAAACAAGCGCTGGCGAAGGCGCTGGCGCAGGGGTGCGGGGGACCGGGGCGCTGGCTTCTCCTGTTATCCACATGTTTGGGGAGGGTTCCTTTGCCTTTGCTGCTTGCTTTTCTCCTTTTTTGTTTGGGGTTTTTTTTTTCCCCCTGCATTGTTGAATGATGAACATGGACAAGTTGAGAAGAAAAATGCAAATGGGTTTGCAATTACTACTTTTTCAAGCTGTTGAGGGGCAGAAGATGGCACTTCTGGGGTGGCCCACTGTTGAGTGGGCTCTAGGGACTTGTTAAGTGCTGTTTAAAAGTACTTGGCTTTGAATTACCCTCATGCCTTGTTAAAGGGTTTTTTTCCCCTTTTTTCTCAGATCAGCATTTTCTACAGCTAACATCTAGGGGAGTTATATCTGTAACATTTGCATATCAAAATCAGGCTTGCTGTCTTCTCTTTAACACAGCATATTCCAGATGACAGCAAGACCCTCATCTGTTCTAATCTGATCAAACCCTCCATTGGGCTTCTGAAGAGGCGACGTTATTTTGTAGTCCCAACTTTTATTCCCCAAGTGCAGATCTGAGGGAGCGTGCGTGGGGATGGATGCTCCGGCGGCTGGGAACTCAAGGCTTGCCTCTCCTCCTTGGGGAACTGCAGAGATTATCGCTATGCATCTTGCACACAATGAAAGAGGCTTTATTATTTACATTTGATATATCCCTATAAATATTTAAGCTGACATTAATACCTATGTGGCATCTGTTGTGTTGGGGCACTTCTCGTGTAAGAACGGTATGGCTCCAGCACATTTATTTCCTCCCTGCCAATATTCACTTACTCTCTCAAATGGTTTATAGCTCACCGAAGCCTGGTTTACTCTCAATTAAAAGGGCTTTAATAATGCCCTGTCACATCTCACAAGTTAGCAGGGAAATCATACGTGCTATTCAGCTGAAGAATTTGGAGTAAACACCTCCTCAAACTGGAACGCTGGTGGTTGTACATTAAACAAAATGTGTCTATTAGAAAGAGTACACGCTGAGGTTTAGTCACTATCTGATTAAGGCTCATTTTAAAGCCCATAAGCAATAAATGCTTAATTATGTTCTGCTTATTGTATTTTAATTTGTGAAGAACTGACACTGAACAAGAAAGTTAACGCCAACTTGGTAATTTATGGGTGAAGCAGTTTTGTTCATTCCTAACACCTAGTGAATGAATTGTTACTGACGGGTTGCCTTTGTTGGCAGCAGAGCTCTGTGTTGTCACCCCACAAAGTTTTCAGCCTCCCCCCCTGCCTTTTTACTGTTAACAATCCTCAAACAAAGATGGTGCGTTGGCTTAGTTTGGGACGTTTGTCCCAGATTAACGTCAGCCATGAAGAAATGAATGCTGGTCCCATTGTAGATTGTTGATGGGGTTTTGGGTGTAATATGTAATTTGCACTGTAAAAACTGTCAGAAGATGGAAGGATTTTTGTGAGGGAGCTGATTGCTCCCTGTTGTGGCAGCAGTGAGTTAGACTTTGGCTGTGCTTTTAGTCCATCTGGGAGTTCGCTTGTACAGTTGATGTCCTGGTGGTGTTCAGGCCCGTGTGTGGAGCCAACCTGGTTAAGACTGGTAGTCTTTCATAAAACACCTATCATCTGGCTAAATCTTACCCTGGCCATGTGGACAGCTGGGAGTTATGTCTATGCTGGTGGGTCTTTGCTCATGCAGACACTTGACATCACTCAGGCCTCTGCAAGTTGATCAAGTTCTGTCTGAGCAAGAAGCCCTGATCTTTTCCCAGTCTATAGTTCAAATTGCTGTTTTCCTCTTGGTGTATATAGACCCAGTTGTATTTTTGTGCCGTGTTCTTACCCCTTTCCACCTTGATTTTGCTATCCTGTGCTATCTGTCTTCATGTCTTCTCAGAAGGAACAGTCTCCTTGGCTTCTTTTCGTGTCCTCGTAGTTGTTCCAGTTTCAGTTATGTTTTCTGGAACATGAGTAACAACCACCATGTGTACCAGGAGATGAAAACTCGGGTGTCTTATGTTTGGGCTTGAACATTCACCATCTCTACTGGAAATGTCTCTTCTGATGAATTGTCATTTTCCCTCTGATAAAGACATCCATGTCCATTCGCTTTCCTGTTTTCATCTGAAGCAGCTCATGAATAATTTAGGGAATGCCTTTGGAGCTGGAGAGCACAATCTCAAGGGCCTGTTTTTCCAGAAGCATTTTGCGGAACTTTCCCATGGATTTCTGCAGGCAGTTGACTGCTGTCTTTCCCCAGCTTTGTCTGCTTAGTTCCTCTTTGGGGCTTTCCAAACAAGAACTGGGAAAAGCCTTTTCCACTTCTAGTTTCCAGGTTTTAGTGTGTTTATTCTAATCAGACACAATTTGCATAAGCTTTTCCCTTCCATGATTTTGTGTGTGTGCGGAGGGTAACTTTTGGCCCTGCTGAGCAATTTCAGCCAAATTTGAGGAAGAGAGAGATAAGTGCATAAAATGCTGGCAGAGAGGAGACACAAGTAAGCATGCTCATGAGGGACAGTCAACCTTGTTGTCTTCTCTTTGGGACCTTCTAGCTGGTGAACTCTGACATGTGCCTCCGAACCAGCCATGGTGTGAATTGCCTCTTGTTCGACTGGTAGTTGGAGGATGGATTAGAAGCTTCAGGCTTCCTTAGGAGTATTTGTAGTGAGAAGCATGGAAGGGATTATCAAGAAAAATGGAAGGAAAGGGAAAAACATGGTGGGTGCTGGCTGATGATGCAGGGAAAGCGTCTTAGGAAACCAAAGCAATTAGTTCTGTTGCTTCCAGAACAACCTGTTTGATGTTGTTTGGGGTTTCTTTTTCCTTGCACCAGGACTATATGCAGAACGTTCACGGGAAGGAGATCGACTTGCTGCGAACCACTGTGAAAGTCCCCGGGAAGAGGCCACCCCGAGCCACGTCAGCTTGTGCCCCCATTTCCAGTCCCAAAACAAACGGCCTCTCCAAGGACATGAGCAGCTTACACATCTCGCCCAATTCAGGTAAGAGAATACCAGGCTAGGGAAGAAGAGGGGAAGGCTGCATTTCCAGAGCCTGGAGGCAAGTGTCACGTACCACTGTGATGGGGACCCTCTCTGTTGTTAATCTACAACTCCAAGTAACAACCGTTATGCACCTTTTTAAGCCCTGACTGCTGGTGTGTCCTCCACAAGAGATTCTAAGTAACGTTCAGCATCCATCTTTTTATATTTGTTACCTTATCCTTGCCAAAACCCTACATAACTTCACAGGAATTAACATGTGAAGAATGGATGGTACCTCACAACTCATCTAGTTAGGTCTAAGCTTTGGAAGAACGGGAGATGTATCATTTGAAAGGGCTTTTTGTGGTAGGATCCGCAGAGCTTCTTTCTGCCTTGAGGAGGATGCCTAATTCGGGGCTTTCCAACAACAAGATTCTTCTGCAGAAAGCTATTTTGATTCATTTATGGAAGCAGTTTATGACTCTTTGTGAGCTCTAAACAACACAGTTTATTGTTTGCTGAAGTACTTGTCCATACAGATAAGTGGATTTAAAAGATTGCATTAAGGGAAAGCATTTGAGGCTGTTTCTCTTGTAAAATGCAGAGTTTCTATAAAACTCATAACGGTATAATGTTGGTATGGAGGTTTTGTCAGCATGTTTGGGAGGAAGTCCATAAAGTGCTGAGTGCCTTTTGCATTTATGATGAATGTAGGCACCTCCAGCGTGTGCTGACAAAACCACCCAAACATGCTTCTGTCCCTGGGCAGTACGCACTGCACAGGTAGGATGAGCAACCACAGGAAGGATCACCCTGCTACTAAAGAGTCTTCTCTTGTATAGTCATAGTTACCTTATGCTTTAAGACAAGATGGAATTCCCTGCATTTTTGTGAAGCACATCTCCCTGTATTCAGGGAAGAGGAGAAGGATTTTCCTTCCAGCTGCAGATGCTGCTCATGGAGATGAATGGTTAGAAAAGGAAACAAAGCCTTGTGGCTTTGCAGTGGTGCCACTGAGCAGACATCCCTGGAGATGTTTGTGGCATGTTATACTAGATTGGCCTGGGAGCTGAAATGTCTGAAGCCACAACTTCATCAGAGACTTTCTCACGTTGCAACCAACTTCTGAAGAGGCACAGAGCTGGCATTGTCACTGGAGGAGTTCGTAGCAGAGAATTCTTCATGGTTGGTTTGGATTTTTCCATTTGCTATTCAGTTTCCATGACTGGCTGATGGGAATGTTTCTGGGTTTCAATATATTTAGGTTTCATAATTTAGGTAAGAAAAATGTTGGACTGAGTCAGTAAACCAGAGGTAAGAAGTTTCAATAAGAGATTTCTGCTTTTAAGACCTTTGAACAGAGGCAAAAATTACTTGATTGCTCCAGAGAAGTATGTTTCTGAAAACATATTTAGAGATGTAAAGTTTATAGGATGGGATTTACATGTTTTGGCATATGCTTAGATTGTCAGGTCAGATGGAAATAACTTCTATGTGACTTTGAATTGAATAATGCACATTTCATAGAATCCCAGCCTGGTTTGTGTTGGAAGGGAACTTAAAGCTCCTCCAGCTCCAACCCCTGCCCCGGGCAGGGACACCTTCCACTAGAGCAGGTTGCTCCAAGCCCCTGTGTCCAACCTGGCCTTGAACACTGCCAGGGATGGGGCAGCCACAGCTCAGCTCTGCATCAGTCTGTATGTCACTTTCAGTACTCTTATGTTCAGGTAAGACTGAGGAGTTGCATTGCAGAGAGTGATTTTAAATTATCAGGAAAGTATTAGTATGGTAATAAAGACACCAAAACACTGTCACCAGCTGTGCCTGGCTTGGTAGTCTCAGCTTTCATGTGGTCAGGTACATGCAGAGGGTCACAGCTTCTGTTGGGTAGGAGACCTGTTGGTGCTCGGTGCTCACACTCCGGAGTGCCAGGAGGACTTGTGGGATCTCTGCAGTTTTCTGTCATGCAACTAAAAACATTTGCAAGTTACCCCTTGCACTTTGTGCTGCTGTCACAGAGCTTTTTCTCAGTTGTTCTGCTGGAAAATGTTGTCTTCATCTTGTGTGATGCATTAAAATCGGTTGCAGGGCTGAAATGAGTGCTGATTTTTCTTTGGGAGGTTTCTGTACATGGACTTGCTGTATGGAGGAAGTTTGGACCAAACACAGAAAGAAGCAGCACTTACTATTGTTATTTCTAGGCCTGCAAATACACTATATTCTCTCAGCTTCACATGTTACCTCTTCCCCAAAACAGTGATGTTTTCTGTTGTGCTTCTGCCAGTGCAGACCTGGTACCTGAAGCAAAGTCTTACTTGCCGTGCTTGTAAGTGAGAAAAATATTTCATGTGGTTGTTTGGTGTGGTCAGGAACAGACTCATTTCCCTTCTGCTGTTACAGAACTGTGTACAGGTTACTGAAAAGCAGCTAAGGTATTAAAAGAATGCCATTAAAATGTCATGTTTCAGATTGCCTCTGGAAATAGAATTCATCGTCTTTACTTATACCTGCTGATAGCCCAGGCCCACTAAAAGCATTCCTCAGCTGAGATTTTCCACTAACTTGTGTTCCTGGAAATAGCTGAACGTACTTTCATTCAAACATCAAACAAAAAGGCAACTTTTATTGTTGAAACAGTCAAATAGTGCTTATCTTACATGATGTCTTCATGTTTTCTCTGTCTCTTAGTGGAATTTCTTGCTTTTTGGGAAGATGCCAGCACATCAGCTGGTCTGATAGGGAGGCAAAGCCAAAGCCTCTTGCCTGTCAACTGGCAGGTTGTAAAAAGACAAGGGGAATGGCTTTAACTTGCCCGAGGGGAGATTGAGATGAGCTCTGAGGCAGCAGCTCTTCCCTGTGAGGGTGCTGAGGCGCTGGCACAGGGTGCCCAGAGAAGCTGTGGCTGCCCCATCCCTGGCAGTGTTCAGGGCCAGGTTGGACACAGGGGCTTGGAGCAACCTGCTCTAGTGGAAGGTGTCCCTGCCCGTGGCAGGGGTTGGAGCTGGAGGAGCTTTAAGGTCTCTTCCAACCCAAAAACCGTTCTATGATTCCATGAAAATACGTGCTATGAGGATGCTTTCTCAGGCTGGGATCCTTATGCATAAGGGGTAGCACATGGGATAGCTTGGGTCATGTTACTTTCATGATGTCTTAAGGTTGTTGAATGATGCTCAAGAAACCTGAATTTCAGTTAAGTTTGCATGGCAGTGAATGCTGATGTGTCTCAGTTGAAGTACTTCAGAACAAGGTAACTTGGGGACTTGCTCAGTTCCAACTCACGGTTGGTAGCAGACTGCAGCAGCGCCCAATGGCTAGCAGTCCTGGAAACAGGCACTGGCCAAGTCTCTGTGCCTTTTAGAAGCTGACTCAGTTCTTGCTGACTTTGGAGCAGGAGAGGATCTAGGTTTCAATTACTCCCAAGTTGGGCTGGATTTGAGCTGGTTGACCTGAAGGTGAACTTATTCCTGAAATCTCTCCCAGGAGTCATTTATTTCTTCTCCTCTACAAACAACCCAAAGCCTGAGCTGCAGCAAGAGCCACTGATGTAGAAAGTTCACATCTAAAAATAGCTTATGGTGTAGAGATAAATTGTTTCCTGATTAACACTTCATTTAAATAATTTGGTGCTATTAAATTTACTTACAATAGTGACTGTACAGTATGTGAATTATCCTCCAATGTGTTAGCTACATAGCCATCGTTAAGTATGCTAGAGGTTGTTATCTGCTAAGTGTATCTGACATTGCAGGCATGTTAGAAGCACAGCATCTTCACATGTTTATAAATGTGAGGTTTCTATCTCTTATTAATTGTGATCATCTATCAACTCAGAGCAGCGATCATTAGGGATTTTACTTTACCCTGAAGTACTGGCAGGCAGCAGAGTTGGAATCGACTGTCTTCCAGAGTTTTCTGCTAAAAACATAGGGAATTGGTGTTTCCGTAGTGTATCTTCAGAGATTCTGACATGGTGTCTTTAGATTCTAGTACCTGTCTAGTAATTCTGTTCTTGAACCACTGCATTACTCGTTTTTTACCTTTTAAGCCTGACTTAGAGGCTACAGCCCTTCATGTCAGTTGGGTAGCTGTTTCCCACATCTGCGTTCATAGCTGCTGAGTTCCTTACTGAGAGCCAGTACCCTCTCGAGTGTGGCATGCCATATGCAGGAGGAGAAGCACGATGAGAAACCACATGTAGGATCACTCCTCTGTTGTGTTGTGGACTCAAGTCTTGATGCAAAGTATACTGAATTAGGATCATGGAATCACAGACTGGGTTGGGTTGGAAAGGGCCTTAAGATCACCCACTTCCAACCCCCTGCCATGGGCAGGGACACCTTCCACTAGAGCAGGTTGCTCCAGGCCCCTGTGTCCAGCCTGGCCTCAAACACTGCCAGGGATGGGGCAGCCACAGCTTCTCTGGGCACCCTGTGCCAGCGCCTCAGCACCTTCACAGGAAAGAGCTTCTGCCTTAGATCTAACCTGAACTTCCCCTGTTTCAGTTTGAACCCATCACCCCTTGTCCTATCACTACAGCCCCTGATGAAGAGTCCCTCTGCAGCATCCTTGTAGCCTCCTTCAGATATTGGAAGGCTGCTGTTACTGAATTCATGAGTATTTTTATAATAATCTTTTAACTGGGGGTCACTGTGATGATTCAGACCCATTTTGGGCTGTTGATGAGTAAAAACGTGTATCAAGCCAAGGGCTTGCTAGCACAGGCAGTTGCTCCAGAGCCTGTAGATCTTGGGTTCCTTTGCAAATAAACACAGAACCAAGTCCTAAATTCTGGAATCTGCTCTGAACTCCTTACTTGGAGGTGACTGAGATTGTGTACTGGAGCAGCGTGTGGCTTGACAGTGCCAGATTTTAACTGGGGGAGTTCCTATGAGGCCAGAGGTTGGTAGTTGTTAGTTATTTGCTACTAATGTTGTATCTACGTGGTACGTCAGTTGACTTGTCTTAACATGAAGCATTTTCTGTGCTTTAACTTTAGCATGAGTTTTATGATGTTGCCA